AGCAGGAGAGTGACGTTCTCCTTCCCCACCCAGGGCTGCAACTCCAGCAGGGAGTATCTGGCTGTCCAAGGGCCTGACAGGTTGACCATGGAGGACTTCTGGACCCTGGTGTGGGAACAGGATATTCACACCATCCTGACACTTCTCCCATGGCAGCAGAAGGGGGAGGTAAGGTGCCGTGCCTGCCTGTGCCTTGGCAGAGAGGGATCTGTCCAGTGGAGCTGGAAGCTGGAGGAACTCGAAAGCTCAAAGTCTTTTCCCTGCCTCCTGGGGCCTCGCTAAAGCTGAGCCTTCTTGTGTCAAAGTGCTCACACAGCTTGTCACGGGAGACAGGTTTTGTCTGCCCTCCATGCAGTCTGTGGCCTTGGACTCAGCTGGTGCTCTTCAAACTGTGTCTCTGTGGCACCCAAGAACAGCAGCTTCTGCCTCTGATCAGCTAAGGTAGAGAGAGTTTGCTGAGCAGATTCCCACTGTCAGGCAGCTCTGGTAGCAGGGAAGCTGGTTGCCATCTGCTCGTGCTTCCAAAACTTCCCCAGGCTTTAGCTAGGAATCAAATGGCAGAGTGGTGTGGGGGTGCGCTTGGTCCAGCCCCGTCACAGCCCCCTGAGATGGTGACTGGTCTGAAGATGGCTGTCCTCAACATGAAGCCAAACTTGCTGTTGTCCACAGGTCCCCAGTGAGGCATGCTGGCCCCTGGAAGGAGACTCTCTCTGCACAAAGATGCTGACCATCGAGAGTGGCACAGAGAAGCTTGTCTCTGGGTGGAGGTGTATCCAGCTCAAAATGAAGCATGTATGTGTTGTTGGGGTTGGGCTGGGATGTTTTCCACTGCCAGCAAACAGGGCTGGAGGGGCAGGGGCTGTAAGGTCTGTGGAGCCTTGTCTGAGCTGCCAGAGCTCCATGCCAGCAGTCAGTCCACAAGTGCAGGAGGGGACCTAGATTGCAGCATCCAGAACATCTGTTGAGTGGACGCAGGAGATGCACAAGAGAAGCCTTGGAGGCTTCTCCCACCCCTTGCTGATAGAAGAGGCCCACACAGTTCTTAGTCTTCCTCTCAAGGGGTAGGTCAGAGTGCTTGGGAGGTGCCAGAGTACCTCATGTGGGGTGGTGGGCAGTGCCCACCCATCTGGGCAGCATTCCAGCAGCTCAGGCAAACATCTGACAACCCAAGGACTGGAGAGCTGGGACCCCTCTGCATCCAAACGCCCCCATCCCTCCCCAACAGCCATGTCTGCTCTTTCTGTCTCACCAGAAGAAGAAAGCAAAGGAGAGGCAGGTACAACAGTTCCTGTACACGCTGTGGAGCAGCAAGAAGCAGCCAGATGTGCAGAGCCTGGTGGAGCTCCTCACTGCTGTCAGACGGGGCCAGCCCCACCGCAAGAGGGCCAGTCCCCTCCTGCTGCACTGCAGGTACTGCCCATCCTGCCCCATCTCTGGGCAGCCTCCCAGAGCTGGACCCACCAGGTTGGGAAGCCCCTTGCCATGGCCTGAGCCCTCTAACCAAGACCCCAAGGGCTTGGGACATGTTGAGAGCCTGTCCAAGAGAGCCAGGGAATCTCTGAGATGGGGAGCCATGCCCTGCTGAGTGCATGGAGAGGGGTGGGCAGAAAGGGTTGGGCCAGGGGCAAGCACGGGTGGAGTTGGCTGAGGTGCCCAGACACGCCTGGAGTGACTGCCAGGGAGCAGCCCCCATGTCCTCATCTGCTCACAGCCAGGAGGAGCTCATGGTCCCACAGGAGCCAGCACAGCAGCAGAGCTGGCTTGGGTGAGGGCTGCACAGCTCAGTGGGGCAGGGTAGGCTGGATGTCCAAGGTCCTTCCATGCAGAATTCAGGGTCCCACCCAGAGGCCTCCCTGCTGCCCAGACCAGTGCTCACAGTCTTCTGTCCCAAACATAGTTGCTGCATGTTTTCTCATGAGGCTTCTGACTTCTTGAGCTGGTGCCTACTTCCAAAGAGGTTCATCTCAGCCTGCCCTGACATCAATGACCCTCCCTTGTCCCTTGCAGTGGTGACATGAACCAAATGAGGACCCTGATCTCCCTGGACTGCCTGTTGCACCAGATGAAAGCTGAAAGAATTGTGGATGTCTACAGGGTGACCCTCCAGCTGGCAAGAAGCTGCTGTCTGATGACCCCGACTCTGGTAGGTGGGAAGGAGGAAGGATGGGCAGAGCAGAAGGCCCATGCTGAGCTGCCTGTAGCATGCTGTCCACTCCCCAGTGCTGCCTGCCACCTTGCAGCCCATTCAGCCTCAGCAGGGATTCATTCCACCCTTGTCCCACCCTGGGTTCTGCAAAAACCCCAGGCTGAGGGCACTGCCTTCTCCTGGGGAAGAGTTTTCTGCCTCCTCAGCTCTGGGAGTAAACCAGGTTCAGTTTCAGGTGAGGTCAGAATCAGGACAGGCCACTGTTCCCATTCTGCCCAAGAGCATGAAGCTCTACCTGTCAAACCTGGCCTCTGGACCCAGGGTCTGCCCAATGTCTCCTTATCTGGGGCCTTTCCCTGCCCCATCCCAGCCCCTGCCTGCTGCTGGAGCTGGGGCTGCCTGCAAGGCAGGTCACTGGGACTTGCTGCCACATTCAAGCTGCCTGGCAGCCCTGTGGGCTGGGGCACGGTGGGCTGGTGCTGGTGCCACTGCTGTGCCCTGCTGTGCCCTGCCAGCCCAGCCCAGCCTCACAGGCCTGCAGCCATGGTGGCTCAGATGCCCTCTGGACCACGTTTTCATTTACTGCCACCCCTGAATGAGTTGATGGAGCATCCCTGGAAACCCTCCCCACAGGGGGCAGCAGAACTGGGGCAGATCCTCCTGGGGCTCCCCAGCTGCAGAGCTGCCTGCAGGCAGCTCATCACATTCTTTATTAATGTGAACCATGCACGTGGGGAGAGCTGGGGGAGGGCAAGGCCTCTGCTGTCCCTGCCTCAGAGCTCCTTTGTGTTTCACCAGTGGTCCTGCTGAGCAGAGACACAATGTGCCCTGAAAGGCCCATCAGGCACCAGTCAAGAACCACTGCCCTGCTGAGGGGGCAGCAGGGGCAGCTGCTTCCCTGCCTTGCCACCAGCAGTGCTGGCTCTGATCCTCCCATGGCCACTGCCAGCCTCCTCCAGCCCAGAGGGGACTTGCCAGGACCCCTTTATCTCTGGCAGGGGCACACTGGTGTCATGATGGGGGCTTCAGCTGATATTTTCGGGGGGGGTTAATAGCCAGACAAGAGGAATATAAGCTTTTGAGGGACCATCTGTGATAACCACTGGGTATTTGAGCACCTCCAGCTCCAGTGCTGATCATGTCCCTGGGGATGTGCTCTTGCATTTGTCCAGAGGTTGAGTGTGCCCGGTCTGGAATCAACCCTGGGCTGTCACTGTGGATTTCACAACCAGGCCAGGCTGGAACCCCAGCCATTGTGTGATCTATGGCTTTCCCAGCCCTTGGTGGGGCTAAACCCACCACGGGCAGGGGAGGAGGCTCCTCGTGACTTGCAGCTTAGCCAGTGCATTAGTGAGCTGCTTGGAGGCCCCTCTCTCAAGTCCCTAATTCCCCCTTCCTGGCTACCATGTGATTTTGACCAACATCACTTGCAGGCTGGCCCTGCCCTCCAGCCTTGTGCCTGGAGTACAACGTCACTTACTTTTCTCACATCTTGCCTTTCCCAGGGCCCTGCTGGGGCAGGGATCAGCCCAGGGTGGTTTGTAGCACAGCTCCCTTAGGAGCAGCCTGGCATTGAGCAGAACCTCATATCAATACACAGTGGATTTGAGATCTCTGGACTCACATTTAGTACTGATGCATCATTTAGGTGATCTTCAATAGAGAGAAACTATGCAATTGGACTAATACCACCCAGATCTTTTTGTCTGCCTCTGAGAGCTGGCAAGAGTCTACCCTGATCACTGTCAGCACTTGACTCAGGTACACTGAGGTTTCCACCAAGGGAAACTCCTGCTCCACAGGTCTCCATCCTGGCCTCAGGTCACTGACAGCAGGGCAGGGGGTTGCCCTTTGGTCTTGTTTTGGATGTAAACACCACAGCATGACCCCCTGGAGGAAGTCAGATGATGCTGTGTCTCTCCATCTCAGCTGTGGATGTTCCTCCCATCCCCATCATGGGGGTAAGATACCTGGAGAGGCTACAGGGGGTGGAAAGGGACTTGTTTGTTTTTTTTTTACAAGGGCATGGAGTGACAAGAAAAGGAGGAATGGTTCTAAGTTGAAAGAGGGGAGATTTAAATTAGATCTTAGGATCTTCTCTTGCCCAGAGAAGCTGTGGCTGCCCCATCCCTGGCAGTGTTGAAGGGCAGGTTGGATGGGGCTTGGAGCAGCCTGAGCTGGTGGGAGGTGTCCCTGCCCATGCAGGGGGGTTGGGACTAGATGATCTTTAAGGTCCCTTCCAACACAAACCATTCCATGATTCTGTGATTAAGCAGGAGAAAAAAAATGTAATGTAACTACAGCTCCAGGCCTTATTCTTCCTTTCTGGGCAACTGGTGACACAGGACAAACATGGACCTCTTGGAACAGTAAATGCTGCTTTGCTATCAGATACTCTAAATTAGGATCATTTAAAGCACATTGCAGGGTTAGTCCTGCGAGCAGGAGGTGTCTGTCAGAAACCTGACTCCAGCCTCCCCTTGGCCTCTTGCAGGATGAGTACATCTTCCTCTACAGCTGCATCCGGGACATGGTGGCTCAGAAGCAGCCCTGACACTGCCCTGCACTCCCCGGCACCATCCTGCTCTTCACCCCTGCCAGGACCTGTTTGAAGGCAGAAGCTGGGCTGACAGCACCATGAAGCTCCTGGCACAGTGTGAGCCCTGCAGCCAGAGGGGACCTACCCCATCGCTGCCACCAGGGTGTCCCACCTGTGGGGGCTCCTGAAGGGCAGGGCAGTGCTGCAGACCCTGGGCAGGGCTGGGCAGGATGCTCCCCTGCTTTGGCTTTCTCCTGGGATTCCTGATGCCTGGAAGTTTTAACCCCGCTGTGGGACACAGAGCTGGCTTTGGGGGCTCTGCCCTGCGCTTGCCCCATGGCACAGGAGGGACAGCCCTGGGCACTGCCAGCTCCGTGTGCCCAGGGGGTCTCAGACTGTGGGCAGAGCTTGTTTGGCTGGTGGCTCAGTCAGGTACAAGCAATAAACAGCCCTAGGAAAGAGT